GTCATCTTGGCTTAATTATTAATTTATTGTTTACTTTTTTCATTTCTTCTTCTTCACACATGCACACACATATGTACACGCATATATATGCAGTCATATCGCACCACATCGCCCTGTGCTGCTGGCGCTGGCAGCAGCATCTATGCACAGCCGAAAATTGTGAGCAACATGTCCAGCTTTCGCAGCAGCAGCCCCAGTCCCAATGGCCACGCCCATGCGCTGCCACCGACACAGCCGAAGGCCAATCCGAATCTAATTGCACAGCTCAATGCACGACTCAACAGCAAGCAGCAACAACAGCAGCAGCAGCAACAACAGCAACAGCAGCAGCAACATGTTGCTGAGGGCATTTATGGGAATGCAATGGGCAGCGAATCCATTTACATGCGCAGCGGATTGTCCATGCAACAGCAGCAGCAGCAACAGCAGCAACAATATGACGGTAAATTTGAACATAAGCTAGCACAGCAGCAACATAGAATTTATGCAGCCTCATCATCATCATCATCGTCGTCGACAGTCGTAGCAGCAGCAGCAGCTGTCGGCAACAGTGCAGCAGCAGCAGCTGCTGTTGCAACTGTTTTAACAGCATCCACATCTAGCAACTCTTTCAATGCTTTGCCACACTTTCCGCTCTCATCATCCACATCATCGTTGCTCTCTAAAGTCAGTTCATTTTCAAATTCATCACCAACATCATCGCCAACAACAACAGCAGCCGCCGCCGCCGCAGCAATGTCTGCTACCAACAACATGTCTCACTATCAGCCGCCACAAGCGCCTGCAGCAAGCAACAATTATACAAATTCGTTTATCAAAAATACAGCAGCTGCGCAAACAGCAAGCATGCGACAACAGCAGCAGCATCAGCACCAGCAACAGCTGCAACAGCAGCAGCAACATTACACTTGCCCGCCGCCGCTAGAGGATCCCCCACCGCCGCCCATTTACTCGGCCACGATGCCAAAGAAAATGGCACGCGCCAATGCTGGACACGGCAGCAACGGCAACAATAACAGTGGCAGCAACATGTCCAATCACATGATGACCGCCACGCTGCCCAAAAACATGCTGCAGCAGCAGCGTATTCAGCAGCAACAGCAACGTTTGCAGCAGCAGCAGCAGCAACAGCAACAATATCAACAGCCTTCAGGCCTTGCAATGGGCAATGGTCATGTTAATCAACGTGCGCCCATGCCGCTGCCACAGCAACAACAACAACAACAACAGCAGCAACAACAACGACAACCACCTTTGCCATCGCGTCATTCCAGCGTGCAGCAAAAGATATTTGTATCAACGAATCCATTCATACAGACCACAGCTGTCAAGCTGCACTCGACGCCGCCCGCCGCCTCGCCCACCTGCGGCTCACCTGTGGCCAGCATTTATGGCACCACAGCGCGTGGCGGCAGCAGCAGCGCACAGCAGCAGCAACTGCAGCAACAACAACAGCAGCAGCAGCACCAATATTATCGCGAAGTTGCTGGCGGCAATAGCAATGGAGGCGCTGTTTACTATGCGGCTCACAACAATAGCCACGCCCATACGCACGCCCATGTGCCACATCATTCAAGTGAGCTGCGCGTTTGATTTTTGACTTTGATTTGGTTTTGATTGCCGCGCTGTTAATTTGTTGTTCCTTTTTATTTTGTCGTTAATTTCTTTTGCTAATTTGAATTGAATTGAATTGAATTTCTAATGCGTCGCCAAATTGCATGTTGCTTTTGTTGTATTTTCGTTCCGTTTGAGTTGTGATTCATATGAAATATTAATATAAATGATGTTAAGAGAAGGAATATTGAACCAATCAACCTGGAAGCGCACAAGGAGAACAATGAATATATACAATATATATCACAACTTTTTCATCTCATTGCCTTCAAATCTGATCTGAATTTCATATCAACTCACTGCACATTGATTTTGATTAAGAAATAAATCAAGATATTCAACTACATTGGAGGTCTGTTCTCAAGGTCTGAAGGAGAAAAAGTGCCCCAAAGAAATAGATCCGATATAAACCTTACAAACTTTTTGAACAGACCTCGAATAGTTTAAGTAACTTGCAGTGTTAACACTTCTAAGTCCTGTACATATTTCACTTAGTCTGTTTCATCTTTTAACTGCAAGTCTACTATAAACTTCGATTTATTGAAGCTTTTTTTTCATTTCAATATTATCTATATACATATATATTGTTTATCAGCATTATCTGCATTGTTCTTAGTTTTATGTTAAACATTTGCTTAAGCTCTCTCATTTGATTCATAAACTTTGTAACAATTCTGAAACGTTTATCAACTCATTCGGTTTTTGCTTCTCTCCTTTTTTTTATGTGCGCACCTTTTGTGCACCCCACATCCATACATCAATCAATCAACACCATTCGCTGCTTAGACTATGCCACTAGCACCAATATCGAAAAGACTGGCAGCATTCGTGCCAAGACCAAGGCTGAATTTCTCGAGAATCTCAATGCCAAGCTGGCGAAACAGGGAATGTCTGGACGTGCATTTGCAGTGCGAAATCTAATCAATAGCAAGGCCCTGGTAAGTAGTGCATCAATCATATATCACCTGAGGCATATGCAATACGATTTCACTCTCTATTCTTATATAGTAATACATACATACTATATCTACTATGACACTATAAAATACTTTGACTATACTAAATACCATATACTATGGTAATCTCTTGCATACTATGATAAGTAGTAATCTCTATTATATTAATATATACTTGTTCCTATACCACGTACCTATTCTTATTCTATACTATACTATACTATGTACTATCCTCTATTATATCATATACTATATACTATATGCTGTGATTGTGTTGCGCGCAATATTTAGATGTATCAGAATCCGCAAAGTTTGGCGCGCCCCAGTGCCCAGTATCGTAGACCACCCACCTATCCCCACACCAACACCTTTGCCAACAACACCAACACCACCAACACCAATACCAACTCCAATATGAACAGCACTTGTGATGAACAGTGTTAAGGTATTCATGTTTTCGTTTCTGTTGCGTTTTGTGTGCCTAACTAAAAGCCCGAGTTGAAATGCGCACTAACTGCATATAGTGTACTATATGTGACTATAATCCAGCTTCGATTAATCAATATATATATATAATCTTATATATAGCCAGCTAATTAGTATTCCTTCTTTAATGAATTGCAGCCGGATCCGCGTATTTGCCACGAGTCGCTGATGGATCAAATTAAGCGTGGAGCGACCTTGAAACGCAATCAAAAGATCAACGATCGAAGTGCGCCCAAAATACATTAATTTAATGAAAATATATATGTCTATATCTATATATATTTATATAGAATGCAAAAATAACTATTGAGGCCTGCTCGACTGCAGAGTTTTATGGCGAGTTTAGTTTGAAACTAAGAAACGCTCACACTAATTATATTATATACAACTAAACACATACATATATGAATATATATATAACTGATAAATATGCATATATAACATATATAAATGATATATATGCATCCAAATTGAAACACTACAAAGGGAGTCTGTAGTGTTGGTTTTTTTTTTTCGACTCTAAATTTGGATTTAATTTGGAATTTTTCTTACTTTCCTATACCTAAACATACATATTTGTGTTAAGTAAAATAACAACAAAACTAATTGAAGTGTAAAATGAATAACTTTCTTCATGGATTATTTTTTTTACTTAAACTCGAATTTATTGTTAGTTGAATTAATATTATTATTATTTATACATTATAATTATTTAATTCCTTGTTTTGTGTACATATTCTATATAATTTAACACTATTTAAATATGACGCCCAATAAATGAAATTGTCGTATCATCATATATATATTATATATATTTTTAAAAATTCTGATATTTTTGGTTGAGTTTTTTTCTAACTCAAGTCAATTTCATGATTCTAAATATTTTAAAAGTATATAAAACATATAGCTAAAGAAGCTATATAACTAAAGATAAGTAAACGCATATATAGATAATATATAAATAGAGTTTTTAAAGTCCCAACTGACGTAACCTTAACGTGGAATCTTATATACTAGATATATATACGGATTCATATCAATTGAGCATTGAGCTATATGTATTTCTATTGGACTGAATCTTGAATTGTCATTTAAAATGCAACTGAGTAAACTACAAATCTATCATATACATCTATATGCTATATATCATTTGACTTCATATCAGTTACAAGAAATAGATCTGTAAACAAAATTTTAAAGCACATTTTATAAGGAGAACATAATTTGGGTTTTTAATGCTTATATAGTGAAGCAACTTGTTGATAGCATTTACTATATACAATTTGGGAAAGCTCTAATCCACATTATCTGATACTCGAAAACGTTCTATGACTAGTTAACAGACTTTTTTAAAATATTTACAAAATATTTTGTATATACGCTTTTTAAGGCTTCTAAATAATGTAATCGTCACTATATCGATATATCTATATATATATAAATATAAATGATCTATCTTAACCAAAAGAGAGGGCAATAACTAAGCTACAAAACTTCACTAGTCTTTAAAATTGGGGCAACATACATACACTATATATATTTTTTGGCAAAACATCTCTACTCAATGGACAAATATAAAAGAAGTTAATTAAATAACAATTATTTACAAAAGACGAAAGAATCTAAATGTTAATCTAAATGTGTTTCTGTGTCAGCTAAAAAGAACAGATAATTAAAAAAAGTTCATATATATATATACAATTTGAAACGGATCGAGTTGTAATGCGTATTTTTGAATTCATTTGCATTTAGGACATGAGCAACAATAATATAATACAATAAATGTAAAAGCATTAAATGTAAACAGTTCAGATATGGATTTATTTTTGGATATGACAGAAATATAGAAATCAAATCGACCAGGAAAACATCAGCTGGACGAAATAACTACATAAAAGTCAACATAAGTGGCAGTCTCGTAGCTATCATCGACCAAAGTATGCATTTCTTTATTTGGATCTTTTAAAAAACAAATCTAATGTATTTTGATAGTAGATCTCTGCGAGCTGCTCCTTGGGCTGCTGTTTGATGCTTGCTATGACCTCGAGAACTTGACTAAAGTACAGAGAGGTCGTTAGGGTTAACATAACTTTGACCCACAAAGCATACTCACCTAATCTGACATGGCTCGCTGCGACCATCAATTAAGGCATCTTTAGTCCATTTCTCCTTCTTCTTGACTGTAGGAAATTTGGTGCTCACATACTGATGGCCCGCATGGGTGGGTCGTATGCCACACCAGGGGCAATCTGTTTCCAGCATAATCCGCTCATTAGGCAGCTGCTGTACTACCTCCAGATTCTCCTTGGTCTTCAACGAGCAGCCATTCACACCGATATACAGACCACCAAAGTCTAACAGACTCTTCGCCTCCTCTAATGTGCCTGTAAAGCTGTGCACTACTCCGCCGCCACAGGCCTCGAGCTTCTCACGATTACGCTCGAGAATCTTCATAAAATCCTCGTGAGCATTTCTCATATGCAGAAAGAGCGGCAATTGGAATTCTTCTGCCAAGGTGAGCTGTTTCTCAAAGTACTCCAACTGTGTTTCCTTTGCACAGAAGTGCAGTCGATCATAGTCTAAGCCACATTCACCCACAGCAATTACCTTCTCCGAGTTCGCCTTGATTCGCGAACGTAAATCGTTATAGTATTTCGCCGGATCGGATAGGAATTCGCCGCAGCGTGTGGGATGGGCACCGACTGTTGTGTACAGGCGTTCTGCAGGTAAACTATTATTTATTATCTAGTTTTATACACTCTCTCTTTAGTTAACTAACCGTCCTTGGCAGCTAGCTCCAGTGATTCATCCACATCTTTAACGCAGCCAGAAGTGATAATTATCTTTTGTAGTCCATTCTGCCACGCTCGTTCTAATACAATATCCAAGTCCGCTGGATGTTTAGTAGAGCCGCCATAGCAGCCTTGATACATGGAATCCGTTAGATTAGCACCAATATCTGCAAGGAACTCATTAGCTACTTAAATACATTCTAATTCCAATGTATTTACCAATATATTTTAATGCCATTCTCAAATATGTGTTTATGCGCATTTAAATGTACTAAAAAATGCCACTTGCCGGTCTGCCACAATCAGCTGCTTGCATTTAGTAGTTCAACGAATCGCCAACAGGGAGCGCCATAAGCACGTGCCCCTATTGAACAAAGTAATGCAGCTAACGGCCGCTAGATGTCGAGCCTGTCAGCTATGGGGTTTCATAGCAGTCAGCTTTTTTAACCATATTTGTTTACTTAGCATCATAGTATAGCAAACTGTGGATAGATGGCTTGTTGGAGGGTATCTCAAGAACTACTACACTAGTAACCTAAAATTCTGCTAGATGGCTAAGGTGCTACTCTTGACGGTTATTACTTAAAATTGAGTTGGATTGAAAACGTCAATATGTTTTGGCAAGTAAAGAATTTTCATTATAAAATACGGGCTCTATTACCCTACTTTCTAAGAATTTCAACCAATTTTGCCATTAAACCTGCTAAACTGCAAAATCAATGCCACAGAAAATTGCATTTGAAATTGTGCATAATTTCGACTAATTGGGTCGCAGGCAGAGCTGTTTATTGTATGGCAGCACAGCACACAAACAAATCAGGTCTATATTATAAGTGTATATGCATACATGGAGATATAGCGTGCGTGCCTGGCGTCACATCTGCCAATTTCGCATGCCATGTGCCCATGCTCGTATATGGCAAATAAATCACAGCTTTTGGCACTCGCGCTTAGCTACCCATTTTTGGTATTCAAAGTTCGATTGATTTTAATGCAGTGGCATTTACAATTTACAATTTACATTTACATTTACATTTACAGTGTGTTCCTCATTTAACTGTGAATGCAATTTATAATTTGAATAAAATTCCATTAGCTGCTTTTAATGGATATTGCGGTCGGCAATAGGACGAAGCGTTGGCAGCGTGGCGACTAATTTAATTGATTTAGAGTCAGCAATTGATGCGAAGGCAATTTCCAACTAAACATAATGCAAAGGTAATTTATAATGTGATGCAGCCAGACGTTATTAATATACTATATTGTGGCCCGAACCCTACAATGTCAGCCCTGCTGAGGCGGCTTGCTTTTAATGACAACTAATGCATATCACTAAATTTAATTGAAATTCAAACAGTGCACAAGTGATAATTGGCCATAACTGCAGTTGATAGCTAGCCTTTAGGTGGACTTAATTGCCTCGAAAGGCGTAAGTCTCTGATAACTCTTCAATTGTACATGAGTGGAACTAGACTATATTGGATCTTCGCATATACCCAAATGCATTCTCTCGCAAATTAAAAGACATTTCATTTCTGTAGTTAAATGGACACATTTAGTAAGTTCTTTTATTTGGTTTCTGTTGATATTTGAAAAATTAATTACATTTCATATGTAGAGAAGATATTTATGAATAAATCGTTTTTGATGTTATTGAATTTTCTTCTTCATTTTGCTTTCTTCTAGTTTTTGATTTTGTTTTTTGATTTTTTTCATTTTCATTATGAACAATTTGAATTACGTACACAAATATATATATGTATATACATACCTATTCATATATGTATACTTTTAAACATATTTTTTTGATTTTTGATTTCAGTTTATTATTTTCTTTAACAAAATCTATGGCTTGATTTTTATATATAAACTTTTGATATATAAACTTTTTCAACCGACAAAGAAACAATTACTATATATATCTCTATATATATAGTAGTATAACTGTCAAATGCTGCGCGCCTCTAGTTGTGTTCCCCGTTTGCCTGATATATATATAGCTTAGATTAGATTAGTTTGTTAATCGCCTCCTCCGATTTTAACTACATTTAACTACATTTAGTAACAATTTGTGTAAACAATTTGCTTATCTTCTAGACATGCCTTAAGCCTAAAAATATAATTTAACTTGGACGTCAAACCAATCCATACATACATACATATACACATATGTATATATAGAGATTCCTATATATACATATATATTGTAATGTATTTTTGTTTCTTAATATTTCATCACAATTCACTTTGCATCTGCCTTTGGTTGTTTTTTTCACTTGTGCAACTTTTTAACAAAGAAAATTTTAATTTTTTATTTAACTTAAAACCAAATATATTAGATTAATATTTAATTTCAAATTTGACTTAGTTAACAGCTAATGTTCTAGTTAATACATATAAAATTCTCCGCTCTATTTGATTGGCTCTTAAATTATTCTGCCTTATTTATTTTATTTTATTTTATTTCATTTATTTTATTTTATTTTTTTTTTTTTTTGCAATTATCGTGCACCCTGTATTATCCTTGAATAGAATTTCATTTATGCTTTATGTTTGTATGCTCATTCACAGTTTGTCCTCTGGGTATTCATAATAGAATAGAGCTCCATAATATATGGTGGCATTGGAAAATATTGATGTCTTAATCGAATTTAGCTGTGAGCGAGTATATCGCAGTCGGCTACGCCCGACAGCACTGTGTTTACTGTTTATACATATTTTATATATTTTATTTTAATTTTGTTCAAGTTCTGTTTGTTTGTTCTTAACATAAATCTCTCGAGTTAAATCGCATTATACAATGCGCTGCATATTTATATATACGACTCACTCACTCACACACACATACACACTCTCACTTACACTCTCTCACATACACACTCAAAGCTCGAAACGTTAATTAGCAGCGCGTTTTGCATAGTAGAGGGAAAAATACTTGGGGAAATCGTGCAAACAGTTTTCCTTTTGCTTTCAAAAACAAGGTCAGATTTTTGCTTTTTGAGCATCAACCAAATCCTACGAGATTTGGAATATATTTGTATATATATATATACATACACTATACGTATATATATATATTTATATGTATTTAAACTACACAGATTTGTAGCTAAAAACAGTTTAGTTTAAACATTTGAATACACTGTATTTGAATTGTTGCTAAACACCACCTACTTAAGCTAACTTAAGACTAGAACAATTTCAAATATATATGTATATACTCTTCTCTATCAAAGGAACTCTCTATAATTGTCGCATAACCCTTACAAAATACCGAACGAAATTTCTAGCTAAATATTGATAAATCATAAAAATGAACTTCTGCCTACGCTTTCTCCCATTAGAATAACAAAATATTGTATACCCTCACCAAACGAAAGTTTTGAATACCCTTTACTAATGTCTACTCTTTTCTAGAAGATAATTGGGAGTCTTGATAAAGCTCTATCTCATCAGTTGTTGGTATGATGGACTCTGTATACACTTTCTGTCTTCCCTAATAGTAATACCCTCTCCAATCTAATGCTAGTAACTCTCTATACCTTTTCCTGTGGCATACATTCAAATCGAGCTATATACACTTTATTATGGCATTCAATTAAGATCCTATGCCATATTTTGGTAACCAACTTCTGCATATTCATTTTCTCTGATATATCCTCTTCTCTCTCTATCTCTCTCTCTGTCAATAAGTTGGATGTTAAGAAATGATTCGAAATAAAAGTGGTCCCCTTTAAATAATGAGCATAGAAAATATTGATCTCAAATGGAATTTATAAAAGTTGAAGAGGTCTACTGCTTGGACACCCTTACTGAGAGTAAGCCATAGACTACGAGATACTCTTACCAACTGCAACTAAATTGCGACTGAGCAACTTTTCTGGTTTTCTCTTTAGAGTATTTGCAGTTAATCAAGAACTGGGTAACGTACACATAGATCATATTTAACATTTATTATCATAATTATTATGAATATTTATTTTGTATTCATTTACTGCAAATTACAGTCGTCGGATGCGTTGTTGATTTGCTGTTTGGTCTTGCGTGAAGCACGGCGTATGAGCGATCTAAGAAATATATAGAATAATTAGTGTAGAGAATATAAAGAGATGATAAAGTGTAACTAAGTGCGGGCAAGAAAAATAATTCAACTCAATACTTTTAGTATAGTAATAGGTATATAAGATATTTATGGAACTGATATATAATAGCATTTATTTTAGACTTAATCACTTGGAGAAAATATGTGCTATTAAATGCAAGTTTCAAATGCCATAGCTTTTTCATGATATACCTAGAAATTGCATTAGATCTAAATCCAACTCTAAGTCTATAAGAGTTTACGTTGTTCTTCAAGTATTGCTCTAGTCACCATAGTTTTTCTTTCAGTGTTTATACGCACCTGGAACGTGGCTTTAGCTTGGCCTCCGCACTGGTGCTGGCCACATCGACAGCATCCACAAGGCTCGACTTTTTATCCCCGCTGACCGAGGGGCTGTTCATGCGGTTCTTGTCTGTAAGGGAAACCAAAGTTTATGAATGTGATATATATATATATACATATATGGATAGGCTGTATATATGTGTATTAATTTACTTTCGCATGCGTCTGCCACACGGGCCGTCGCACGTGCACGCGAATAAATGGGAAAATCCAATTTTCAGTTGGCTCTCGACAGTTTTTGTGGCTCTCTGCCCAATTGTGGAGCAGCAGCAGTTGCCAGTTGCCAGTTGCGAGTTGCGAGTTGCTGTGGCAATTGCAAGTTGCAACAATGCGCCAAGCCCCACGCTTTGACCTCTCACGCCTGGCCAACTTCGCCCACCTTTCGCACGGTTTTGTGCCGCTCCGTTGCATGCAACATAATTAGCTTATGGGCAACGCCGTCAAAGCACTGCTGCAGCTGAACTCACTGAAATTGATAATTGTCTGCAGCTGAAGCTCGATATGTGCTCAGCCTCGACGTCGCGCTGCTGCCTGCTCAAAGCATAACTCAAATCAGCGGCATTCACGTGATACCAAAGCCAGAGCCAAGCCCAATGAATGTGAGAGGAGCTCGATTCAAATACCCCAGCAGAAGTTGGCATGCTAATGTCTATAGAGGCGTTGATAAGAAGTCGGCGTTTCCTAACAGACAAAAAATGCAATGCTGATAGTAAGTATAAATAAGCATATCTTATAATTGGTGATCAATTGATAATAATATTCCCATTACGATACAGATTTGTAGATCCTGGCTGGCTATATGAATTATAGTAGTAGATCAATTGAGAACTTACATAAATCAAGTGAGTGGGTATTTTATAAAATGAAAAACTTTTTAGGTACGGCAGCTATATGATATGGGGGTAGAATTCAAGCGATTCGCTTCTACATATAAACTGCCTATAACAAACAGATGTTTCTATGAAAAGTTTTATAGATCATCATTTATATATAATTAATGAAATATTTATATTTTTGTATATTACTTTTGATATTTTATCTGCAATCTTTATAAAATTCTCTATCTCTAACTCATCCATGTTATCTGAGTGCTTCTCTAGTGTGTGTATACCTCTTATTAGTCGGAGCACTTTAAGAGAACCTTTTCAAGTTTGCAGTGCGCACAGAAATTCTTGGAAAAATATAAGGACGCAAGTCCCAAGAGAGCTCACATAAATGATTTGATTAGCCGCTGCGCATATTGATTAACTGATTTGATGGATTTAAAGCGTTGCTGAGATCTGCAGATTAATGATGATTTATGTGCTAGAAAAACTGCTGGAAAATTTCAAATGCGAAATTAAACAGTTTAAAGACGACGAAGGAGATGAAGGAGAAGGAGGAGGAGCTGAACAAGAAGAAGAAGAGGGTTTTTGGCCCCAGTGAAAATCTTTGAAGAGACTAAATTTAGTTAATGCGTCTCAAAGGGTGCTAGAGCCAGACCCCAAGGGAATCCTTCAAAATAAAATATGCATGAGTATGCCCCAGTGTGTCCCTGTATGTGTGTGTGTGTGTGTGAATGCGACTGTATGTGTGTGTGCGTAGTGTCAACTGCAAACAAAATGGCGGCTGTCGCCATTGTTGTCGTTGACACAAAAAAGCGCGAAAATCGAGCCGCATGCTGTGCACCAAATACTCTCCATATATGCATGAGTGTGCGTGAATGTGTGTGTGTGTCCGTGTGTGTGTGCGTGGGTATTTGTTTGTTGTCCTTTTGGCTTATTACACTGTGGCCATGCCACAAATGCACATCTGTAAGCCCCATTCGCACAATTTGCCATGGAGCATGGAGCATCGCCAATTGTCAGGCATTCGCCTCCATTCGCATCTGCATAGATGGACTATGCGCGCATATTTTGAGCAGCAGTATCCAGTTTCACATTTCAGTGCCGCTCTACAAACACGCGGCATGCATACATATATAATTCTGATTCGCTGACTCTATAGCATTCTGCTTGTGTGGCTTCTGTGTATTTTGGGCAGGAGACAAAGAGGCAAATAACATTTTTATTTGCAGCAGCACAACGAAAGGGTTGTTCGAATAGAGTTGATTGACTGACGGATTGACTGGCTGATTGACTGACTGATTGATGGATGTAACAGCTCGAGCTGGAAGCATTTACCGCTTTAGCTCTAGCTAAACTTGGTTAATTATGTGTCTATCGAGTGTATAAATAAGAGTGACTTTATATATGGATTGATTGATTGATTGATGGGTAATAGTTGAAGTCAATGCGATATACCTTTCACCCTCACCAACCGATAAATCGATAAATCGAAAGGCTAGTTAAGCACAGTAGCTAATCAGTTAGTATATAAACTTGATTGAATGATTGATTGACTGACTGATTGTTTGAGTAACTGAATAATAATCTTACTTTGTTGGAGTTGGAAAGATTGTCTGCTTATGCTATAATTGTTTACAGTTGTAAAGAATTGATTGACTGACTGACTGATTGATGATCAACGTTGAGCTTAAGCCGTTGAAGCTATGCGATAATTTAGCTAGAATATTACTCTCGCAAGGACGGGAAGAATTTTCTCAACTTATATTGCTGCAGCTGGAAGCTGTATTAGAAATTTCATTGAAAATTCCGTTCACAATTTATGAAAATGCCAGCCATTCCCAGTATTGTTGTAAGTAGTTCTCTCTCCCTCTTTTCATTCCCTCTTACACAAGAAAGGGTATTCCAGCTGCGTCTGCTTCATATTTACAACGAGTAGCGTGAAACGTGTTGTTCAGATTTTGTTTTTGTTGTTGTTGTTGTTAAATTAGATTTGGCCTAGGCGAGTAACAAATGCGCGCTTCAACTGGCAACTCTGGCATGTGGCGTGTGGCGTGTGGCATGTGGCATACGGCATGTGGCATACGGCATGCGGCATGCTGCGTCCTAAAGGCGCATTTGTAAAAGTTTCAATTGAGTTACGGTTACAGTCGGCTGCCTGCAAATAAAACTGCTTGCGGTTCGCTTCGCTGCGCTCCGCACCACCAGCTCCACCAGCACCACCACAGCAACCGCCAAGCCACATTACATTTGCCGCCTATGCCTATGCCTATGCGTGTATGTGTGTGTGTGTTTGTGGCGGCAGCTTTTGGGGGCGTTACAGATGGGGGTGCGCCTTTTCCTTGGGCTAGACAAATCAGGTGCAGCTCAGCCAGACGCTCGGCCTACGCGCGCTCGCCCATTTTTTATGCCCCATCACCCCACACACACACCACACACTCACGTAGGCACGTGCTTAGGCTATTGAGCTGTCGCACAGACACACACACCCATACTCTCTCTCTCTCTCTCACTCTCTTACATGGGCGCACACCTTCAAGCGAAATACGAACGATTTACGTTTTTGTTTTGCTTTTTTGCATATGGCACATTGTGTGCGTGGTTTTTTAAGGCAATTACATGTTATACCACCTGCAGTCGAGCTGAAAGGGGCATATTAGTTGCTCTGATTACCCATGGCTACAGTCCCTATAGTTACTTCGCACTTAGATTATCGCTGTACAAGCCACAGCCTAGGGCACTAAGCTAGTCCATGTATACCCTACGCAACTGAGGGGAAGCGGGTATATACTTGTGCAAGCTATAAAGCTAATTATATGTTATGTGCTGTTCACAGTTGAGGTGAATCGGGCAAATTGGTTTGTATAGTATGTATGTGAATGCACTTTGTCGACTTCTTAAAGGTAATCATATATGGTGCCTTACACAATGAAATTGGGATGGGTATGGGTATATAATAGCTAGCTATAACTGCAGTCTCTTTGGAAAAGTCGACCTTTGCTCAATTACTTGTTATACTACTTGCAGTCAGGGTGAAACGGGCACATTGGTTTCGTCTATGCACTCAGCTATTGCTATGCCACTATGTAGGAGTAGAAGTTCACTACATATTATAATATATATTAATAGATTCATGCATCAATGTAATCAAAGTTAAGGGAGATTTCTTTATGAAGCAATAATAATAAATCGATAATAATAAATGTTTGCTTCTTGAAAGACAGCATATGCAGCTGTTGTGCATACCCGTCCTCTGGTTTTCCAATGTGTTGCTCTAAATTTCTTTTGCCTCGCTGGCTTGGCCTCAATTCGCGTGATTAACTGCTCAGACTAGGACAAGATTCTCGTTTCCTTAGATTTCCAAACGAGGAGAGGGAGAGTGAGAGTGCAACAGAGATAGAGAGAGAGGGAGAGGGAGAGAGACTGCGAGTCAGGCAAAATGCGTTTAGTGCTATCGATGCAAACGTTTCTTTTGTCAATTGAGCTGTCGCTAGTGTTTGTCGCTATTTGACATTTGACCTTCACTATTCACATACACACACCCACCCACACACACATACATTGTTTGTTGTGCTGTCAACGACAGTTCTCCTTGTCTGCTTGGACAATACAAAATAATTTACAAATTTTGTGGCTCGCATTTAATATGCAAGCGAGTGAATGTGTGTGTGTGTGCCGGGCAAATACAATTAGTATAACAGCACACACACACACACGCACTTGTGTACACATAGACACACATGTGTAGGTACAGATATTAAAGCTTTAAATTGCATTCAATTTCGAAATTCATTTGTGGCTGCGAGCCAACTTTGCACTTGATTCAAATGACTTTTGCGGGTCGTTGGGGCTAAATAACTAAAAATTTTATCAAATGCCGCCAGCAGACAATTAAATTAATGTCGAACAGTAGCTGAGAGGGACAATTGTTGTTGCTCTTGTTGTTGTTGTTGTTGATGGTGGGCGTGGCTGTGTGCCAACACGGAAATTATATTCATTATTTCGAGAGCAGACAGCAGCGCGTGGCCAACATTAATTAACTGTTTATTTATATTGGTAACAAGCAGCGCAGAGCAGCGAGAAGCAGCAAAAAGAGAGTCAAAAATATGGAAAACTTCTTGACAAGGAGAAACAGACAAGAGTGGAAGAGAGAGAGAGAGAGAGGGAGAGAGTGGGAGCTGAGATACCAAGGCAGTTTTTTTTTGCATGGGCTAATGTGTCAGGTCAATGGAAATAAAATACTTTTGCGTCTAATTAGCAGGTAACGGCATTTGCATAATTAATATGAGCTCCGGCTCAACTTTAGAACTGCACTTTCTTCTTCTTTGCTTTAAGATGAGTTGATTAATTGGCTCAAAAAGTTTCAGACATCAATGGTGGCCGAGCATTGTTCAAGGAAAACCATGTGGCAACTCTTAAAAATATATGTAGAAGGGATAAAGGATATAGGATATACAGTATATGTATATACTTACAATTTAACCTAGCGCACTAACAGCGAAGGCTTATAGAATTCTAAATTGTATTATATTATTATATATAGGGTATATTGCTTGTGCAAAATTTTATATAGCAGGCAGGAGAAGGAGTGGTAGCGCCCATTAAGTATATATATATTATTAATAGAGACAACGAGCTGAGCCATGTTTGTGTCTGTCTGTCCATCTACCCTTGGAAATGGGTATTCCTGTCTAGCAAACGCAGTTTAACATGTCGATAGCTCAACACATTTACTGATTAGCGCAATCGATAGTTTGCTTTGCAGGGTACCTACTAGTCGGGCACTCCCAATCAAAGCATACATATTTGTTATTATTTGCCGTAGACCTCAGTTGCTTCAGTTGCTTCAGTCTATTGCCTGTCCGCACGATACATATAAATAATTGACTAAAAAGGGGTTTGTCCTGCTGCCAGGACTCGTTGTCCTGTCATCCTTTTCCATTCATTTCTTGTGCTCGTTGCGCAGTTGTATTTCACTTTCGTCTTTTTATGTGCTTTGGCAAAATTTTAACAATTAATTTGGGTCAAACACAGACGCAGGCGAAGCAATGTTAATTACACTCAATTAGCCAAATTGTCGACAATTTGTCAATGTAGCGTCTACACTGCGCGAAAACTCGAGCTCCCGGCTAATTAGCAGCTGATTTTGCAGGCCACCAAGTCAGCTGTAGCAGGTGTTGCCAGACATTTCGTTAAATGCCAGCCGGGAGTGGTTAGGCAATCGGACGAGCAGGTGTGGCAACAGTGGGTCTAACTGAGGAGGGAGTGGGCTCACTAAGTTGCACCACGCATACATTCTGTGTATGAGTGAAGAGACGGTTGAGCCTGAGCAACATTAGCTTTTGTAATATGTGTTTGATTCTCGAAGTCTTAAGTGGCCTATTTGTTGTCTCTCTTATAGTCTTTGAATCCCTGCTGCAGTTGGCTGCCTTTCAAGTACCTTAGCTATATTATTCTATACATATATTCTCAAGCTCTAGAACTAAATGCGTACTGCTCGCACTTAAAGTCCTTAGTTCATGCTCTGAACTTTTCATTACACTTAAACACGAATATCCTTTTTATACCCTAAACCCATTTAAAATGGAATATCATTCTAGCATACTTTTTCGCTATTCGATATTTTTTCTCTTATAAGTTCACAATTATTGGGCAACTATAATACATAAATTAAATTTAAATTTGAGCCTCTCGTGCTAAGCTTAAAACACTCGAAATTGATACTAATCCGTATTATGGGAATATAATATCTATCTATCTATATATATATATACATACATATAAACAACAATAAACTCTTTTTGTAAATTTCATAAGCAGCTGATTTAAGATTATTATGCAGAGTGCAGCTAGGATGCATGAATTATAATTATATAGATTAAAGCCCAAATATGTATATATTTATATGTGAGCATGCGTACATATATATATTTATATGTGAGCATGCCATAGACTGCCGCTGTTATTATTAATGAGCTTATGCCTTAAATCGTTTTATGTGCATGCTCGTTCATGATTCAAAAAGAGTCTATACGACTGTCTGTATAAAGGCAAAGCTATTGCAGTTAAAGATTTACTCTTTGGTATCAGTAACCTACAAAGCCACGCCCACTAGGCGTAATCGAGATCGCCCCTCATAGAGCCCTACCATTCAGGCGAGCATTGGGCAGTCGTTCACTTATAATATTTCTGGGCATTTTTTATCAGCTGGTATTATTTTCAATTATTGGCCAAGGTAATCGACAGATCGTATTTTAATTTCGCATTGCGGGCAATCGCTTCAAGGCTTTAATTGTGGTTCAGCCCAACGAATGTTTTGGCCAGAGCTGCAGCCTGCAGCTAGCGGGCCATCGAAACGGCAAATGGATATTTGCCGCTGCTGGCCGACAAAAGCGAAGCGAAGCATTCTGTCAACTTGAAATTATTTCCGTTTGGCAGTTACCGGCTGACAAAAGTTGCAGCAGGAGTTTCCCCGTTTTCCCCTTCCATTTTCGGCTGCAGCAAAACAATTTCCACAGTTTTGTTTCGTGTTTTTTTGTTGCGAAATTCATAAATTCTTTTCGCTCTCTCTCTTTGCTTCTGTCTTTGTGTTGTTTTTTGTTCTACTCACTGCGACTGGACGAGGCGCTGACGTAGGCCGAGGAACGCCGCTTGAAGCCGCTTGGCGCTGCCTCGCAGCTGGAGCCGCCCGGGCCGCCGCTGCTGCCGCTGCTGGCGGGCAGGAAGCGGGAAAGGGAGAGCAGCGTCTTGAACAGCTCCGTCACGTTGGTGTCCTCCTTCGCCGAGCACTCGAGCACCTTAGCCCTGCAACAAAAAGTGGAAACGAACGTTTAAGCTTCTCTGGCCAAAGTTTCGGGCGGCCTGCATAGATTTCTTATGCGTCACGTATACGCAGCGTATACGTAATGTGGGTGCATCAGCACGACGAGACGTGGTGACCACATTTACATGACTGGGCTAAAAAGTATCACAATGTTCGCTCAGAGTTGAGCTTAAGCCAAAAGGGAAATGTTATTCGACAGACGGATACCCTGTAATGAGAGAGAATGAGACATACCCAACTGGCTGTGGCGCATTTACAGGGTAGCGACAGCAAACAGCAGACAGCAGCGCAACAATAATGCTCAATCCACCACATGCTTCTGGCAGACACACGCTTTCACATCACTTTCAACAAAGCTGGCAGCGTTTACGGATAAAGCACGCGACGACAGCTGAAAAACGGGCACTGGCGGGAAATTGGACGGCGGCTAAAATGGCGGGCGAACAAAGACTGCCAACGGCGAACGGCGAACGGCAAACGGCAAACGGAAAGCAGCGAACGGCAAACGGTGAACGGCGCTTAAATGGCTAAATTAGTCGTATCACGAATTTAGCCAGCGCTGTGTGGACACGAGCTAGGCGAGCTGCTCAATTGCAGGGAAGAGCTGTCAACAGCAGCCATAGCCAACGACATGGAGGAGGTGGAATAGAGTGAGAAAGAGTGAGAGAAAGAGAGAGAGAGAGAGGGAGACAAACATAGCTGCGCTGGCTGGGATTTTCTTGTGATTTTGTTCTTTAGTGAATTGAAGCAATTTTGTTTACACCTTAAACACCAAAGAACAAGAGGTATGTGGGGTATATATATTTTATGAAGATGTATGCAACAAAAGAAGGAGGCCGTATGAGAAAGAGAATACTTGGAAACTATAGAATTTATTTTTTGCATGAAGAGATGATTGCTTGTAACTTTAACTGGGGAGATGAATTGTGGTTCTCTTCAGTTAATAATTAACATGTGACTAAACACAGTTAATGATTTTTGTGTAACTTTCACAATTATAAAAGTTAAATTTCAAGATGAGATGGCTAAAAAAAGCAAACAAACACGTTTGCTAGCTGACTTGCTTTGGTAATTGGAATGACTGTCGAGAATCATCACATATAACATGGCAAATTCTCTCAAATGTCTAATAGAGTCCTCAGTATGCCCCACTACTACCCTCTCTGCAGCTGCTGCCCCTGGCAGCAACAGTAAATCAAACAGTGTTGCCTTTAATGAATTGTTCAAGTTTCACATGTGGCCAAGTGGAAAAACGTTTTCGTTTTTTGCTTTTCCTTGGCTCTTGGTTTCTTTGGGGAAAATAATCTACTTATGCAATTGCAAGTGCTGCGGGAGGAGAGATAAATGCACGCGTGTGTGGCAGGTGAGTGCGCTTAACCGCAGACAGACACGCAGCAGCAAATTGCAACGCTGTAGCCGTCATGCAACATGCAACATGCCTTTCATCATGCCAAAGAGCCACAAACAGACAGAGAGAGAGAGACAGAGAGAGAGAGAGAGAGCCGCAGAGACTTAAACTGAACAAAAAACGAACCAAAAAACAGAAAAGAAAAAAATTGCTGGCAGTTGACGTGCAAATTTGTGATGCGCACTGGCAGCAAGGTCGAAAAACCAACCAGCCACCAGCAACCAGCAACCATGGCAACAGCAACAAAAGCAGCAGCAGCAGCAGCAGCAGCACCTGCGTCAGGTGCAAGGACAGTAACAGCAACAGCAACAGCAACAACAGAGTCTACAGGAGCAACAGAAGCAACAAGCAGCAATTCTAAGAATAGGAATAGGTAGGAGGAGCAACAGTAGTAGCAGCAACCTTAGCAGCAACAGCAGCAATAGTTGCAACTATGGCAACAGAGGTACAAGAACAGCAGCAGCAGCCCAAACTAGATGCAACAGTCGCAACAGCAACAATTGAAGCAAGAGCAGCAACAGTGGCAGCAACTACAGCAGCAACAGAAGTAGCCAACACAATGATGGCAACAGTATCAAGCGCAGCAACACCAGCAGCAGCAGCAGCAGCAACAACAGCAGCAGCAACAACAGCAGCAGAAGCAACAGCAACATCAACAGCAGCAGCAACAACAGCAACAGCAGCAGCAGCAGCAGCAGCAGCAACAACAGCAACAGCAATAACTGCATTACGAGCAGCAACAAAATCAACAAAGGCAAAGTTCAAGGTGCATTACAGCTGCTCCATCAATCTGCTTAAATGTTTGAGCCAACGTATTTGCATATATTTATGTATGCACAAATCTACACTGAAAGAAGAAAAGTTCAGTTTTGATGAGCTTAAGAACGTATTTATGCAAGGAATGACTAGAGTATATCTCCCACTCTAGTATTCCAATGTCTACAGCATGAGTGGGATTTAGGACATCTCCTACTCAGGTATGCCCATGTCTACAATTTCCCAACTTGCTTGTTCGGCAATTCTATTAATCTAACTAAAACCTGAATTTTAATTATACATTTCAAATAAATTTGTGTTTAATTTAATTAAATTGAATATGCATGTCGCAAGGCGAACAGCAAATTGCCATTAGAGGCTATCCTGCTGTACTGGGAAGAGGTCCTCTACTGGCCGAGCGCATCAATTTTGACAATACTCGGCTGCAATGCTATTTAAAGGCCGTGTGAACGCTGACAGAGTAAGCAGTGCATCATGGAGAGTCAGCGCACGGACATCAATGAGCAGGATGTAGAGATGGAAATTGACTTGGAGCTGCAGGAGGACTTGGCGGACCGCGACCAAGAGCAGCAGCAGGCTGAGGCGATCGACTGGTGGATGGAGGTGTGCAAGGAGTCGGCCATACACGGCATGCCGTATCTAGCGCGCAAGGACCTGCACTTGCTGGAGCGCATCTTCTGGCTGGCCATGATCATCGCCACCGCCTACAGTGGGATCAGCAGCTGCATCACCCAGTGGCAGCGGTACACGGATAGCCCGGTCATATACGAATACGAGTATCTGTTTGCCCTGCGCTCCTTTCCCTTCGCGGGGATCACGTTCTGCTCGCAGTACGACGAGCTGCCAGCCAATATAGTAAACAAACTGATTGAGGAGTGAGCACGCCTTGGCCTAGGCCCGAAGAGAGATTCCGGAAATAATACTGCAATTCGTTGACAGCACCTGGAGCAGCGAGGACTCCGACTCCAACGACATCGAACTGTCGCCTGAGAAGCTGCAATACTATGCCGACTTCCTGCATGTGCTGAATGCGCTGCAGTACGATAATTTGCACACACTGATGCCCTACGAGAACGACACAGCCATGCAGAAGCTGCCGCTGGTCTCGATGCTCTTCGAGCTGTTGCCCAAGCGACTCAGACGACGACCCAAGATGGTGAACAGCCTGACTGAAATGGGTCTCTGTCGGACATCGAGTCAGCTGGCGAATTTCGGATTTCCATTTGACAAACAGCTGAAGTGGGTGCGATCTAATATCTAATATCTAATATCTAATATCTAATATCTGATAGCTAATATCTTATATCTTATGTATATTATAGATTATTATATATTATCTATTTTCTATTATCTCTTATCTGTACTAGCCAAAACTATACAGATCCCATCCGTATATGCAACTACTTCCATGACTGTAACATTTTCATCAAGCCCGTGCTGCCTGATCTTCGTATGAATCTGGTAAGTGGCGTAGCTCCTCCTAGATCCCTCTGTAAATGATTGCCTATGTCTAGTTTATCCACGACGTGAATGAGTTTCTGATGCCGCACGATCGTCGCACTTTGAACATCGATTTGGCGGACAAAGATATTCAGGGCATCAGTGTGTTGCTCAACTCCCTCTCCGCCGAGGACAACGTGCGCAATGTGCCTGTCGGCTATCGCCGGTGTCGCTACACCGACGAAAACTACCTGAAGTACTACAGTGTGGGTGCAAGCGAATCGTTAGCTATGTATAGAATTGATGGAGCCATTGCAGGTCTACTATCCGAGTTTGTGTCGCATGGAGTGCCGCATCGATCGCGCTCTGGCCCTCTGCAACTGCAAGCCCTTCTTCTACGTGGCAGGGCCAAAGCGAAGCATTTGCAACGTGAGGCAAATGGTGTGCCTGGCGCGCAAAAAGTGGCTGGAGAAACCCTGCGACTGTATGCCCCTCTGCAAGGAGATCAGCTTCTCTTTCTCCGAAACTATCAAGAACGACGAGGTAAGCCTTTCACCCTCTCCGCAGCTGCCGCATTTATTCGATCTTCAAGCAGGGCAGCCTCTTTGGCCTAAATCGCAGCTATATCGTCAGCCAGAGTCTGCCCAAGATGGGCATCAAGCGTCGCGTCATCTTCAGCACGGATCAGCTGATCATGTCGGTCGGCGGTGCCATAGGCCTCTTTCTGGGCGCCAGCTTCGTGAGCATATATGGGCTGAGCTACCTGCTCATGTACTATCTGGTGGTCAAGTGCAACTATCGACCTAACCGAATAGATCAAACACCGAACTAAAGTTGCTGCTAAAGTTCTTTACTGGGCCAGGGGTAAGTCAAATGGATATTGATTTGATATGCCTATATACAGTATATAGATATATTCTTGATCAGGATCAACACCAGATATGCTCTGAATCTTGACTCTATTCCTATTGATTAAATTTGAATAATGCCATAGAATGAAAATATATGCTCAAAGATCTATAATCTATAAATAATAAACACTCTAATGTTGATCGAAAATATAAATAATAATATATTATATACATATATATTATAATGAATGTTTATATAAATATATGCATATATTATATTATTGAATATTATTATTATGCATATAGTATATTATAATTATATATATTTATTTCATATTATCTACTTTAATGACAATTATAAAATGCTCAAAAAAATATATTTCAATTGGAATAAATTATAAATAAACCTTAGTTAAGTGATCTACTAATAAAGGTTTTTAAAACTATATTTTAATATTGCTCCCAGATGTAGCAACATTTATTGTTTCCTTATTTCCCAACATAAACTTAACGTTCGTTACTCTTAAACCAGTTTTACTTTATAATTAGCCTCTTTAAAATTGAAACACACACCCATTTTCGTTGAGTGTACTTAGCGTGCGTGTCCTCTGTATGTTTCATATTTATATATATATTTATTTATATGTGTTTATATTACATTTTTAAATAAGTTTACACACGCTTGCTTAAACCGCCTCGTGTCATGCCACGCCTCGCCGTGACCCCGCCAGCCCCTCTTGCACCGCGAATTATGGTAAGTGCGGCCAACACATTGCTCAGAAACAGGAAACCAATTCACCCGCCTCACCTTTCACGCCTGCCCCGCAGCCCAAAGCGCCTGTAACTGATTTTTATGGACGTGCAGTTTATTAAGGATACAATTATGGCTATAAACGTACATGTGTGTGTGTGTGTGTGTGTGTCTGTGCGAGCATAAGAGAGCTGAAAAGTAGCAAAGTTTTTACCAACAGCAAAGTTCGGCGTGCAATGCCAAAAAAAGAAAGAAACAATATTCTCGCAAATGAGCTAATGGAAATCCGAAGAGCTGAGAGAACTGCGGACTAAGAAGCCCATATACCCGATGACAATTCCAAGAAGAGCTCATGTTTATTTAATTATGATCAGAGCCGCATATATGCCACTTCAGATGATAAGTAAGTCAGACTAACGAATCTCAAATATGTTTAAAGTGGGCAGCATGGAATCATTGAAGGAGCTCTGTTATTATTGAACTCTCTTCGACTCAGCTGCTAGAGTAAACATTCTTTACTATTAGAAATAAGTTCTCGTTATATATTCTGTAAGTGGAGACTGCAAAGTTATAGTTGCAGTTAAGCTAGCTTATACTTAACTCTACCTCTTATAATCTTCGATGGGGGCTACTATTTCTACTACTTTTTCTACTACTATTTCTACTACTTTTTTATTACTGCTAAAATAATTAGTACTAGTCAACTTCTATAATAATTACTCCTACTACTCATGCTACCATTACTATTACTATTTGTACAACTGCTCATAAAAAATATTACTTCTCATACATCTATTATCATTACTACCACTACTGATACTACCTTTTCTACTACTTTTTCTACTACTATTTCTACCACTTTTTTATTACTGCTAAAATAAACAGTACTAGTCAACTTCTATAATAATTACTCCTACTACTTATGCTACCAATACTACTAATATTTTTACAACTGCTCATAAAAAATATTACTACTCATACATCTATTATCATTACTACCAATACTGACACTACTTTTTTTACTACTTTTTCTACTACTTTTTCTACTACTATTTTTATTACTGCAAAGATTTAAGATTTATTTAAAGATAAATAATAATTACTACAAATACTCATACTACTATTACTAATACTATTTCTACTACTAATTTTACTACTGTTAAGACACTAAAACACTACTACTCATACTTGTATTATTATTATTACTAATACTACTCATACTACTACTTCTCATACTTCTATTATCAGTACTACTACGCATCCTATCTGCCATCTACAAGACCCATTCAGATCGACCATTAAGTCTACTTTAAGGCGCCATCAAAATAGCCTCTAATAATGGTGAGCATCAATTAAGTGTGGAAGATAGCCTCAAATTGCTACTATTACATGTTGTCGTGCACCACTGCAGCGCGGTGGTGCGTGGTGGTGCCTAGGATTCACTTCCCGTGCCATTTGCGTGCATCCTTCGCTGGTAGCTCTCACTTTTTAGCGTTGCGTCTGCTGTTTAGCATGCAAAGCGCGTTCGCTGCGCCGGCAGTCGAGTGCATTGAACGCCCTTGTCGTAGGGGAATATCAATTCACAACTTTTTGGTCACTGAGACAGGCAGACGGGCAGCCGGGCAGCCATTCAGTCATGGTGGCAATTAGGGTGTGTCTACTGTACTTGCACAGTAGGTCAGTCAGCCAGTGTGTGAGAGTAAGGGAGACAGAGAGTGTTTTTGTCTACCCTCTCGGCCAATTGGCCCAATGTGAATTGCAATTTTGCGCTGTTAACAAGCTGCCAACTGATTTTTCGTACTTGCCACGCCTCCCGGCCGCCCACTCTCGTCAGCGCTCGCAAACAGATGGCAGCGAGTCACGCTTTTTGTCGCTTAATTTCATTTTGTTGCATTTAATTGCATTTGCCGGCTGCAGCAGCAACGGCGACGCCGACTGCGACTGCGATAGCGACAGCGACTGCGACTACGGCGACAGCGACCGCTGCGACAGCTGCTGCTCGTGCAGGTTCTCACATTCATTTCGGTCAACAAAAAATTTATAGCACATTTTTATTGCACTTCTTGCTGGCCATTACTTACCGAGCAAGGGCAGCCCAGGAGAATAATAGACTAACAGTTACCCTGTAATATTGTGTATAATTACTATGTTGTTCGATTAAGGACTTTCTTATCTGCGATATCTGAGATCGGTGATCGAAAAAGTTTTGTTGATGTGTATACGACGAGTAGATACCCTATAAGCTAAATATGATTTTCTATGTAACTCAACCGACTATAAGCTATGGACATACAGCTTATCGATAGTAATAAAATGAGTATTACGAGCTTAATGCAGATGATCAACTTATAGACTGGCTAAATATCCATTACCTTATACCCTGTAAATCAACAAGTCGCCTTCCATCCGCACATTGGACTCTCTCTAAGAGCTTGCAGGGTATCGCAAATGAATGTTTTGCGGTTTTCGTGCTGGCTTTTTCCGCTTTTGGTTTTTCATTGCACAACTTTGGTTTGGATTGGTTTGGCCTAATTGCAGCTGCAGCAGGAGTCGCGGCAGCAGCTGTTGCAGCACATTTGCATTTGCATGTATTTGCGGGCTGACATTTTTAAATGGATAATTATGGGTGAATATCTACCTGAGGCGTGGCAGCTCGCAGAAGACCCAGTCCGTTACCTCCTCCTGGCGCACCTCCCGATGGCTGGTGGCCAAATCGGCTTTGTTGCCGGCTATGACAATGGGTATATCCTGTAAACAGAGATAACGAGTTAGTCCTGCTGCAGACGGAGACAAAGCCGACTCGGCTATAATTGACGCACACGCACACACACACACAAGCCAAAGCCAGCAATAACAACAATGGGGGGCTCTGTAGCATTAAGCCCCCAAAGACTTTGGCCAAGCTCTGTGTACAGACGTCTTCGTGTTTTCCTTCGCTTTCTCTATTTTGTTTTTTGTTGTGTGTGGTCTTAATTGCTTTGGGCCATTGAAATTGGGCAACATGAGGGATTGTTGCCTGGTGCTCGGTGCCCGGTGCGTGGCTTTATTTTTTATGGGCGCGCTAATTGCATGCAAAATGCAAAAGGCAAAGACTCCACGCTCCGCTCACCTGAAAGTCGGCGCGCTGCTCGCGGATCTCCTCGAAGCACTGCTTCACACACTGAAAGCTGGGGGCCGAGGTTGTCGCGTAGACCAGCATGAAGGCGTGCGCCGTCGCAATGGAGAGGCGTCGCATGGCGGGGAATTGCATGTCACCGGATGTGTCCAAAATGTCCACCTGCAAACGACAATAACAACAACAACAACAACTATAATAATAATAAACAAACAGCGGCAACAAATTAAGGACTAAAAATTAATTAAATGCGCGTGTCAAAGTAGAAAACATATTGTATTACATGGCGTATGTGTAATATTTAAAGCACGTCACGCATACGCCGCATTGTGCGGTTAGCTTTTTGTGCGGGTTAATGTGATTTGCATTATTTCATTAAAGGCAGCGCTCTCGTTATAAGCACACTTCATACCACACACACACCACAATCGAATTTTCAGCTACAAAATGTGAAACGGCGAAGATTTTCAACTGCATATGAAAATATACATATATGCAAATGGATATATAGAAATATTCGCATCAATTCAGAATTTGTGAGACAGAAACTTTGAATTATATTGTATTACACGGCGTATGCGTGTTATATTGATATATTGCGCATACGCCATGCTGTGCGGTTAAATTAATTTATGAATAACAGTGCTTCATTAAATTTTAATATGAAATGCCACACTTTCGAATTGGAAACATTAAAATATATATAGAGTCTATTTAGGCAGTGTTTACTGTACTCGAAACGAACTCTTGAGAATTGGAATGTGTAGCACACAAACTTTGAATAATATTGTTTTACATGGCGTATGCGTGTTATTTTATCTACCACGCATGCTGTGAGCCTTTTTAATTTATTTCATAATCAAAAATTTCCATTATTTGATTTAACAATAATTTCAAGTTGCCTCCTCAAGAAGGGAATTTTATTTCACAAATTATATATATAACTTTGAATTGCACAGGCAGAAGTGTTTTGGCATTAAAAGTGGCAAACGGAAGAGCAGAAACTTTGAAACATATTGTAATACATGGCGTATGCGTGTTATTTGATATATCCCGCATAGGCCACATCACACGGCAATTATCAATGATTTCATTAGCAAGCATTTTCGATTTTCCAGCTCATTTTAAGTGCCACAAACAGTTGCCCCAAAAATCATTTTTAACTTTAACAGCAACAGCAACTACAACAACAACAACAGCAGCAGAATTTGCAATCTTCAATGCGAACGAGACTTTGAATTATGGCTGCAATTGATGCCTATGCAATTAAATTGATACAAAACGAATTTGATATCAATTTGTTTATGAATGCGCATCTGAATTTAACTCTCGACAAACACAGACATTTTGATTGCTAAATAATAATCAATTTCATTTCATTTTCCCATGAAAAATGCATTCTCTTTTTACATTCGTTTTTATTTGCAATATTTTTGTTATTAATACGCCCAATGTATGTGCTGAGGCTGCGCTTTTCGCTCTATTTCAATATTTGTGAATTTCTGCCATACTTTAAAGCAATTTTTGTTTTTTTCTTTTTTGTGGCGTTCGATTTGTGGCTTAGTTGAAGCTGTCGCTGGCTCTTCGTCGGCTTTAACTGGAGTTTTATGGCGAGCACGTAAAACACGTCTACAAATATTTCATATATTTGTTTGCCCCTCGCACAATAGCAGAGAGTCGTTTTTTTTTTTTGCTATGTCTGTCACGGAATGCGGAAAGTATAAAAGTATATTTATTTATATGAAAATATGTGTATTCATAAGCGCACATGCCAAATAAGTGGCAAGAGTCAATTCGATATGGATTTCTCAGAGTTTCTCGCTTTCCCTGCGCAAAACTTCTGTTCATGTATTATATTAAAAACAGGCAAAACACCTCTACAGCCAATTTGAAGCTACTTGATAGCCTCTTGGGGATCTAGATGAAAGCTGAACACATTCAGATTGAAACTCGGAAGCAGGCAAGTGAATGCATATGGCTACGTTCTTGAGCTATAAAAGATGCTTTTGACAAAAGGTGGATGAATATTTCAATATAGAGATGCATGAGTTAATAGACCAATTCGTCTAGTGTAATAGCTATATACTTTTAACTCCTTTGGGTATGCGGCGTAGTCTACTGGCAGTAGATATATGAACATATGTACTTTTAATGAACAGAAGCGTTTCTTAATATGTCTCTAATCCTCTATCATTATCTTTTTTCCTATAATAACATTCTCTTTGCAATCTGAAAGACTTTTTTATATTATATAGAGTTATATCTGTTTATCTATATATATTACTATTCCATTCATTTCGATTCGCTTTCGACATATTGTGCTTATAACTAAATTTTATAGCCTAATATTTAGCCCCATTCACAGCTGCTTATATTTATCTACATATTTCTGTTTCCATTTATATTCATCTGTCTGCTCTCATTTGCTTTTTCGCTCTTTGCTTATTTACTCTAAAATAGTTTTTCTATATTTTGATACGGCTATAAATTCTCATTCATATTCACACTCACACTCACATTCAATGTCCACCTGCTCCCCCCCACAGTGCACTGTAGGCTTCCTGTTTCTTTCTCTAGAGAGCTCCATATCTGTGTCTCTTGTTTCAAATGTCGAGCAGGACTACATCTGTTTTTTTTACGGCCATCATTGATGGCATTTTTCATATTCATTCCAAAGCTCAATTTGCATGTTGAGCACAAACGAGAGTCGAGCTCTATTTTTTTGTGTAGTCCGCAACAAAGCAAAAACTGTGCTTAGCAGATCTGCCAACTGTCATTTAATTTGGTATTTGAAATTGGGAATTTTAACTTTTGAGTTTCGTCAAAAGCACAAAACGTGGGCGTGGGCGTGGTTGTGGGCCTGGGCGGGGAGCAGAGGCTAAGTCCGGTTCAATGCAATGATGCCAACTAATCCCAGCTGTTAAATGCATATAAACACAGAGACAGACAAGCGGAAAGATAACGAGGGAGAGATACAGAGAGAGAGAGAGAGAGAGAGAGAGAGAGAGTGAGAGTGGGAGAGGGCGAGTCTGTCTGCGGTAGAGGAAGTGCAGGGCAAGCGAGTTGGCGGATTTCAGTCCGTTCTATTGTCTGAAATGTTGGCCATTGTTCGGCAATTTGTAGCGCATTGTTGCAGCGATCGCCGAAGTCAAAAGGCAACTTTATTATAAAAATGCGCGATTCCCCAACAATAGCAGCGAATGCTTTCTACATACATATGCGAGAGTGGTCTAAGAGTATTCAACTTTAAAAGTGCAGTTTCGAAATTGAAAAGAAATCTAAAATTGTTTAGACCTCCAATAGCATCCAATTAGGTTATAAAGCCAGAGCCGTCTGTGGTCTCATAAGCCACGCAAGTTGTGGTATCTCCTAGTCAGGCACTCGCTTACCGGCTATTGCTTCAAGTTGAGTTAGTGGCATAGGCGGATCTCATGTAATACTCCCATTTATAGCAAAGGAACATGTTTGAGGCATTTATCTACATACATATAGATTATATTGTGTTAACAACTTGTCGGGCTGCCCTCGCTTACTTGACCAAGGCTTTGCTGCATTGTTTGTATTCCAAATTGCTATTAAGGCCGCGCTATTTTATGGCCACAAATGTTAAACGCTCAAAGTTGTTGCGCCGTGTAATGTGCCGCAGCGGGTTTTAGCAACAACAACAGTAACAACGACAGCAAAAGCAACAACAATCTGTTAAACGTGACCCCAATGTTTCGGCTGCGCGTGTATGTGTGCGGGTGTTTGTGTGTGCGTGTGTGTGTGTGTGTGTGTGTGCGTGTGTGTGTGTGTGTGTGTGTGT